AAATTAGACCCGCAGCACCTGAAAAGCTTCCAGATCTCACCTATGGCCTGTACCAGTCCCCCTACCCTCGAGACCCATGTCCAGCTTGCCCAGGGCTGGGAGCACACTGGGCACAGCAATGGAAGACACCAATAGACCAGACCATGCCTCCCTCAGTCCCCCAGAACAGGTCTGGGTGCTCAGGGCAGCCAGAGCCACATCCTTCCCCCATCCATTGCCCAGTGTCAGGCCTCCATGACAGCTCTCAGCAGGAGGGGCAAGGACCAGCGGCTGCCAGAAAAAACGCAGCAGCCGGGTGGGCAGCCTGCAGAGACGAGAGCTCCCTCCCTGTGAGCAGGGCGAGGACCGCGCTGTGCAGGGCTCAAGGGTTTCCCTTTGCCCAGCCCGTTCTGGCAGCCAGGTGACAGGCAGGACGTCCCCAGGCAGGCATTGGCTGGTGGTGATAACGCAGCCACCGCTTCCTTGCTGCCGCAGATGCCAGCGAGGGTCCTGCTCCAGCTGCCGTGCTGTGCCCTGCAGGACTCTCCACAGGCTGACATGTTCCTGAGCAAGGGACTGGCATGCACGTGGCCACGTGTCCCCACGTGTGACAGTCCTGTTGTGCCACCTCAGCACCAGCCATCAGGGGATCTCAGCACCCAGCACGCGGGCACCATCGCCCGCTCCCACCCATGGGTGCCTGGCATGCAAGGCGCAGCAGGGCCAGGAAGCTAGCTCCCTGAGATCTTTGGGGAGCAGGATGGACAGCAACATACCCATTGTGCTGGGGGGTGCAGGCGGGCGCCAGGGGTGCGTACGTCACGGGTTTCGTCACCAGCCCAGGCCGTGGGTTCGGAGGCGAGCTGGCCCCGAAGGGCCGAGCTGTTTTGTTGAGGGCGGTGCTGGGAGCGAAGTTATATTTCAGGGGTTCAGAGCAGGGGAGTGAGTCCTGAGCGAGACAAAACACACAGACATGGGCTCACACATCAAGCAGCATGCAAGGGGCAGCCCCGGGCCAGGCAGCACAGCAGGCAGCCAGGTAGGAAAGGCGGACAGCACGTGCACCTCTGCCAGGCTGGCACCTCTCTCCACAGGGCACCCAGCCCAGCAACAGCAGGTCACAAGCCTGGCCCGAGGGTCGTCGGAGGATTAGTAAGTGGCCTGGACACTTGCTGCTGCCTGTGGCGGAGTGATGCATACACACACGCTGATCGCAACCATCCCACTGCATGAAGCTGAATGCATGCAGGTGGCTTCTGTCCAGGAGCCACCAGTCACTGGCCCAGCCCTGTCTCCCCATGCCAGGGCACTCCCCACTACCAGCAAACATGGGGCCCCAAGGCCGTGCAGTGGCTGGCAGCCTCCCTTTCTGTGGTGGGG